ACCCTGCCCCCATTGATGCCTGAACCGTGGACCTGGGCCTAGACCTGAATTGGGACAGGGTGAGGTTTGAGACACCAAACTTTTATTTTTTGTCTTTTAAGATTTATTTATTTATGCATATAAGAACTGGGGTGCAGGCCAGAGGTGTGGGGGGGTGAGAGGATTCACCAAAGACAGAGCAGGGACCAGAATAGCCAGATCTACTGAAATACACTGCTGAGGGGGCAGCGGGTGGGGCAGGAGAAGTCTGCCGCGCCATGTGGGTCAGCTCCCTGGCCGGGGATCGAACTCGTGCTTTAGGCTGCAGATAGCTTCATAGTGCTGCACTTTAGCCCCTTGCATCACCATGGAGGCCCCTGACACACTGAGCTCTTGATGTGTGTTTCCAACATGGGTGGGGGCCTGTGGGAGAAACAGGGACAGAACAGCAGAGTATCTTCCGTGGGTACACGGCAGGGGCTACAGGGGCCTTGAAGACGATGCGGTGATCCAGGCCTAGAAAACAAGGAACAGGGGTGAGTGGGTGAGCCTCAGGGCCCTCGGTGCACGTGTGTTCCCGGGACCTCAGGTGGCTGGCAGCCAGCAGTGTGGCTGGCGGTCAGGACGTATGCCTGAGCAGTTCGCCTCACTGACCGAGCACTGACATCACTTCCATCTCAGACGGAAAGTTCCATTTGGTCAGAGTCCAGATGCTGAGCAGACATTTCCCATTCTCTTTCTGAATGGGCCCAGGGGGAAGCAAAGGGGACACCAGCCCGGAAAGGGAGGAGTGGAGGGGTGGAGTATGGGAATGGAATGAGGAGGCTACCCGGGGATCTGACTGGGCTGGGGGCAGGGTTCATGCTGAGCACCCCATGCCTGGCTCCTGCACCCAGTGCGGGTAGGCTCTGCTTATGGGCAGTGGTGGATTGGGGCCCTCAGCTCCCCCTGCCGTCGTCCTCCCTTCTGTGTGAACTGAGAAGGTGCTCACTCCACGCCGTAGGAGCTGAGTGAGGCTAGTACAAGCCCCACTGTCTAATTTCTGGGCAGCATCAGGGGGCCCCGCCAAGCCATCCAGTGGGTTGCTGCTTAAGGTTAGCTTCTTCTAGAGATAAAAATGCCCTGCCAAAGAGAAAGTTGCTGTAGCTCCTCGAGTTTGAGATGGAAGGAGGGGACCTCAATAGCTGAGCCCACTGTGAGCCAGGCTTCAGAACCAGTAGGGGCACTGCCCTGCTAAATTGTTGAGCTTTGTGAGGCCTTTCCAGCAGCTCAGTGGGCAGGCAGACCCTGGGGTATAAGATGGTAGAAAGGGGTCCCTCACTGTTAGGAAGCGCTTCCTGGAGCTGCGTAGACAGACCAGGATGGGGAGGCAGAACCCCAGTTGGCCTGGACGGACACCTGGCTCCCTTCTGTGTAGGGCTGAGGATGAAGCAGGGACTGGCCTCCCACCTGTCTTCCCTCCAGGGGTGTGGGCACCTCTCCCACCCTCAGGTATGCATCGAGCCCCAGGACACATTTTCACACTGAAGGATCTTGCTCTGGGGTTTCTTGACCATGGGTCCTGCCCTGGCTGCTGCCCCTTGACTAGAGTCTGTGAGGCAGGGTTGGGATGAAGTGGCCTCCCCCAGCACAGTGGTGGTTAGGCCCCCTGGAGCAGGTGGCTGTGCACAAATGAGGCTACCTCTGACTGGCCAGAGGCCTGTCCCCCTCCCAGACTCATACCCAGGTCTTGGGAGGCCCTCCCCACAGACTGCTGTTACTGCCCCTGCCGGGGAGCTAACGACTTACCCCTTCACACAGTGCATGTGTATGAGCATGAAGACGTATACGTGGGTGTGAATGTGCTCTGGGCATGGTTGTATGAGCGAACGAGTGTGCAGATGTGCATGGGGACATGCTTGTGAAATGTGTGGGTGTGGATGTGCATGTGTGGCTGTGCAGGAGCATGGTGGCGCTTGCGTGTGGGTATGAACATGCATGTGTACAGGTGTGAATGTGCACTAGGCCCTGCCCCCAACCTCTGTGCAGCAGTTGTCAGCCTTTGGTGGTAAGAAGGGGGCCAAGCACCAGCAGACTGCAGCACTTCCAACTGAGAGGGCCCGAACTTGGCCCTGGTGACTACAGAAGGTTCCTCCCGGCGGCAGCCCTAGAAGGCGATGGGAAATGCTCACGTCTCAGGGGAGGGAACAGAGCAGCAGGCCTGACCCACAGCAAGAAGCATGACAGCCACCAGCTTCTGGGGCCTCCCCCACCAGCTGGTAAGAGCTACTAACAGGCTTCTAGTTTCATGTTTTACTTGTAAAGGTCGTACACATTCCTGGCTTTCAAAAGAAAAGTGAAAGAAACCCAACAACAAAAACAAGTCAAGCCCAAGCTACAGAAGGTCCAAGAAAGGTACTAACGTGCCACCTCTGCAGCAGCCTGGCTCAGTTAGCAGGTGACCTCTGCCTGTGGGCGAGAACCAGCCGTGCTGGCCACTGTTTAAACACTGACTTGTCCCTGCGTCAAACCTGTTTACTCTTTCTGTTTCATTTTCTCTCCCAGATGTAACAGAACTCACCCTCCTGCTCCCTAGAACAGTCCAGCAGCCCCAAGGACCAGGAACTATCAGTGGGGTTTCCCTGTACTGGCCCCACCCACTGGCCTGCCCTGGCCCACCCACATAGCCCCAGGCACAGGGATCTGGCTGGACCGCTTGGTGTGGGCTTGGTAGTGATGCTTATCTCGCTCTGCCTGGGTATTCTCACCTGGCAAGTGAGAGTGGGTGGTCCTGGCGCCACTGAGGCATGATCCACCTTTGAACCCTTTGATCTGCCCTGATGACAGGGGCACTGGGCCTTCACCACAGGGCTGGGTGGGCTCTGCTTGCTTCCACTGCCCCCTGTGCCTGCTCTGGGTTTCCTCCCCCAAGGCCTTTCCTTGAAACTGTGTGCTGATTTACACATCTAGAGATGGGGGGGGGGGTGCAGGGGGGTTCTGTGCTAGCTGTGCTGTACCAGACTGTGGCCCACGGGAAGGGGAGAGAGGACAGGCTGAAGAGGAGGTGTCCCTGGGTGGGCTGGGGTGGGAGTGCTGGCTACTCCAGCCGGGGGCCCCAGGAGGCCTGTCAGAACAGAGGGAGCCCTCCAGTGGAGGCTGGACAGAGATTGGTGGAGGGCTGGTGGACATGGCCTGCAGAACTTGGGGAGCCAGAGTGGGCTCTGAAGGTGGAGTTTATTCCTTGTGGCAGCTTCTAACCGACGGTGGGGGAAGGGGGCTCTCAGGAGAGACTGCAGTTAGGGCAGAGTGGGGGTAGCAGTGATAAAGCCTGGTGATGACAGAGGCTACTGAAGGTGCGCCAAGGCCCTACCCAGACACGGGTGGCAGAGGGGAGTCCTGGGCATGGAAGTGTACCTCCCCTGTCAACCCAAAAGGCAATGTTAGGTTTCCCCCTGGCCTCTGACCTACACCTAAGTCTGTAAGGGTAGACCCAGGGCACCAACAGATGCTGCTGTTCTGAGTCCCTGTTTACTGGTACTTGGTACTGGGTACAGGACGCTCAGGAGGAGCCCCCTTTCCACTGGTCTCTGGCCCATCTCCCATCTCCTGTCTCTTGGCAAGGTCCCCTCCTACTTAAGCACCCTGACTTTGAGGGAACCTTAGGCTGATGAGGTGACTCTGGTGCCAGCCCCGCTAGGCCTGCCTCACCCCACCCTCCAGCTGGCTAGTGGGGGTAGTCTGGCTCCTGCCAGTGCAGGGACAGTGGGTAGCTGGTGCCAGCCCCATCGCCACTGAGCCCAGATTGCTTGTTATAGGGCAGCTCATGCACCCCAGTAGCCAAGGACTGTGACTGCAGCCTTGTGGTGTCTCCCCAGCCTTCCTCAGGGAGGGTGTCCCCATCTGTTTCTCAATGTGGGGGTGGCGTGGGGTGAGGCAGAGGCCCAGCCTCCAAACAGCTCCTCAGCTGCCAGAGCACCGTGTACATCTCCTTGGCCTCGTGGGAGGTGGGAGAACCCTGCCTCACAGAATGGGTTGGTGTGGAGGGGTTGGTGTGCTGGGAGGGAGGCCTCTGGGGCCAGTCTCTCCCTCCCGCTGCCTGGCAACCGTCTCCCAGGAGATAGCTGCTGGGCTAAGGGCTGAGATCCAGCCTTCCAGGGCCTTTTGTGACTGAACCTTTCATCCCAAGGGGGCCCTGAAGGAGGTATATGGAGCCTACTCTCCACCCCCAGCACTCCCCAGGGATAACCACATTGCTGTGATTAGTCGTGGGAAGGAAGGGTGTTTTGAGGTTCCCCTGAAATCTGCCATCTCTGTGGCAGTCTCAGTGAGGAGTACAGTGCTCATACCACAACTCTTGGTATGAGTTGTGGCTTGGTATCACTCTGTGGCTGCCCCTCATCTGGACCCTTCAGGCTGGCAGAGCTGCCATGTAGCAGTCTCTGCTGCTGCTGAGGTTGGGGCGCCGCACTAACAGCTCCCCCCAGGGTCTTGCGGGAGCCTGACCCTTCAGAAGGCGTGGCCTTCATGGAGAATCTGTGACTGTCTCTTTTGGAAACAACATCTTCCCTTTTTCACAAGAGGAAGAAGGTTCCGGAAGATTGGGGCCCTGACCCATGTGAGTGAGCAGCTGCGCCGGGTCTGTTTTCTGGCTACCCCCTATTCGGTGCCTCCTAGGGAGCCTGGTCACAATCTTGCCTTCACAGCTGGGACCCAGGAAGGTGTTACACCCCCATGCGCTCCCATGCTGACGGTGCACAGGGGCTGGGAGGGGTCAAGAGAGGACTCCATGGCCTGGTCCCTCAGCCAGGGGCGTGGTGCCTGGAGCAGGGTTGAGGACATGAGCCTGGCATCCCAGAAAAGACATATCACTCAGGAGTCCCTGCCTACCGTCACCTGTGGTAGTCCCGCAAAGTGCCTGAGAGACGGTCGGTGGGAGTGTGTCTCTTCTCGCCCAGGCCTGGGTGGGATCTGCTTGAACTGGCGGTGCACGCAGAGCCTGGGCAGGAGTCCACAGCTCCAACAGTGCCGCCCAACGTCCGCAGGCACTGCTGCTGCTGGGGGCCACCGCGCTGGCCTGCCTCGCCCTGGACCTCCTCTTCCTGCTCTTCTATTCCTTCTGGCTGTGCTGCCGGCGGCGCAAGAGCGAGGAGCACCTGGACGCCGACTGCTGCTGCACCGCCTGGTGCGTCATCATTGCCACGTTGGTCTGCAGGTGAGCGGGGCGGCCGGTGGAGGCGGGGCGGGCCGGGTGGGGACGGAGAGACAGGAAAAGGTGGAAGGGGGAG